CTCTCTCTCTCTCTCGCGCTCGCTCGGACTCACTCAGTCCACCCCACTCCACTCCACGCCTAAATCTGTATCTCTTGCAATATGAGTTGGTTTGGCTTGGAGGGTCGCCTACTGGGCCGCCTGGAGTGCGCTGGGCCCCGGCGAGCGGGCGGGTCCCAAGCCGGGGCGGAAGACCGCGGCGCTCCGCGCACTGCGCGGCCGCCCAGTCCTCCTCCTCGCCGGCCCGGAGGAGAGCAAAGAAAAAGGGGGGAGGTGTGGGAGCGATGCATTAATTATTTAATTAGTGGGGGTTGAAGGCTTCTGGGCTGCATTCCACGGCCAGGCCAGGGCACTGCGCCGTCACTGGTGCATGCTAGAGATGGCCACCTGTCGAAATGCTCTTCGCATCGAGGCCTGTGGCCTTAGCTTGCGCGATTTCTTCAGGAAGAGGAAAATCAAGCCAATCGCAGTTTGCAGGCACAGCAGGCCGGGGGATTGAAGAAGCCGATCATCGGGCGTGGTCTGCTGGACGTGGTCGCCTTGCGGCCCGGTTTGGAGACAAATTTCAGCTGGTGTGGGGACAGCTACCTTCTTGGGAAGTTCTTGCTGCCGCACCCAAGGCGAAAAGACATCCGACGTGGTCTCCCTGTCGTGCTCACCGACGGGCTGACGCAGATGGAACAGGACAGACATCCTTAGAGGCTGCACAAGAATCCTGGCAGCCAGCGTCTGAGAACGATTTGACGAGTCTATGATGCGAGAGAAAGGAGTGGGAGATGAAGCATCGTGGAATGGGCCAGATTTGCAAGACCGACAGGGAGAAGGATTTCCCACTTGAGGCTTGCGAGTGCTCGTCAGACTTACGCAAGTCTTCGGTGGGGGGTTCAGTCATGGAGATGTTTGCCTGCGTGAGGTTTTCAGCGCCGGGATTGTCATTGACTCGTCGGAAATGGAGGTCTCTGATCCATCGGACAGGACAGGAAAATGACGGGCGGGAGGGCAGCCTGCCGCAACCGCCGATGTCAAACGGCGTAGTCGAACGTTGCTACAAAGTTGAAGCACATGGCGACAATAAGAAACAATGTGTCGGCACTGACTCCTGCCATGGTTGCCTTGGAGACTGCGCTTGGCTGACTAAATGGGGCCCTTTGCATGAGTTAAAATCAAGCTTTCATTCCCAGCGCAGCCGGGTGCTGGACAGCAGTCAGAGGTGTCCTGTGTGACGATGCTTTGCTGGCCCTCGCTCATTTCCCTACGACACCGTGCTGTTTGCTAATGTGGGAGGGCAGAATTATGCAGACAGGGGCATGTCGGGTGGTTCGCTTGCAGCATCTTGCAGTCTAGTTTACCTGTGATCCCCCCACCATCGCACGCGACATGCCGCGTGTGAACCCTGAGGTGTTCCCGCCAAGAAACGCCCAAGCAAACTGCAAAAATGGAGTCGTCGGCCGAAGTCGGGATCAGCTGTACCTCCAGTCTGGACCTCCTTTTGTGAGTCCCTGCCCTGTACCGTACCTGAAAAGAAGACATCTGATGCCCATGGTTCATCTGCTCTCCCAGGACGTGGATCTTGGAGTTCATCGCCGAACGTTCCGGCGAGCAGCTCCATAGCATTTCGATCGGGTTTGCCATGTTGTCCCTTGCTCTCAGGTTGGCCTTGGGTTGCATGCCTTGGGGCTTGTGCGTGTGCATCGTTGCCGACCAACTGGAGTACGCAAAGCCATGTAAAACCTATATTCACATGCAGATGCATGTGCATGGGGACGTGCGCAAACACATTCATATGCGCATGCAGAGAGAGGCGTAGATCCATCCATGCTTGCTTGTACAGATACAGATCATGCTCACACACGTTTATGCAACACACACGCGCACCCACACACCACACACATACGCGTACTTACATAGACATGATATGCATATACATATGCAGTGTTAGGTGGACATGTCCATAGATGGGCACATTGACACATATCTGTTTGCTTCTATATGTATGCGTGTGCCTAAGTACGTGTGTACGTAGCGCATACGTACATACGCACGTACGTACATGAGTATGTACGTAGGTAATTATGTATGCATGCACCTGTGTGTTTAAAGGCATCCGTACGTACGTATCTTGTGTGTATATGTATGTATGCATGCATGGATGCAATCATGTTCATGCATGCATGGATGGGAGGGAGGGAGGGAGGGATATGGAGGGATGCATGCACACACCCCGGAGGTACAAGTGCAGACGCATAGCAGAGATTCAGATTGTAAGCTGAAAGTTCGGGGATGTGCCCGGGAGACCCGCTGCCTGGAACTCCGAGGAGAGATCCTGTCGACCTCGATCGGTCCCTCCGCAGCTTCTTCGCTCAGTCGGCCCTTGCCCAGTTGTTGCATAGGCTCGGGGGTTTCGAGGCCGAAGCGAGGTTGCTTGACCTCGGGCCACCAGGCAGATGTCCATCAGCCCTTTCTTGAATGTTATCGCCGCCCACTCTTCAGAGGAGGAGCACCTTCAAGTGGAGCGACGGCAACATGCCTGCCTCAGCTTCGAGTCTGCAGGAGCTTGCCCTGCCGTGCTTATCCCACACCCTCAGCGACCCGGGAACGTTTCTGGCCGACCTCTCTCCAACTATCAGCTGCCTCTCGCAGCTGCGACGCCTCAGACTGGACTTCGGCTGGCGCAGCCTCTATGCGAACCGTGCCGTGTTGGCATTTCGCCCGCCTCAACGTGTTGCTGTGCTCTTGCAAGCATGTGCTTAAACGGACATTTTCGAGAAGTGTTGTCTTTGCTGCCGACGAGTCGGTGTGCTGTCACGCCAAGGAATGATTTCCAGCCTTACCTCCGTTGCAGATCTGGGTGCTGCAATCAGGCCAAAAGCCTAGAATCGGCCTAGAAGGTTGTGCAGCCGTCAAGAAAATTCAAGCCTCTCGCTGCAAGGCCGCTTGCACAGCTTGAAGACCTGGCGATTCGGTTGAGTGGCTGCAAGAATCTTCAGAGCTTGGCTGGTCTGGATGATGCATTGGGCCAGTTAGCAAACTTGAACCGTCTCGAGCTTCACCTGCAGTCTTGCGAACTACTTCAGAACTTTGTGGAGCTCGGGAGGAACTTGGGTCGTTTGGTCAACTTGACGTCCCTGGACTGCTGTCTCGGTGGGTGCCCGCGTTTGGTCGACGCAGATGTGCGGGAGCTGGGCAAAGGCATCCGGAATCTGACCAAGCTGAACCAACTGAAAGTGGATGTTTCGGGTGCCAAACGCATCTTTTACTTCACTGAACTCGGACGGAGCATTCGCTTCCTTCGAGATCTGCGGCACCTGGAGATGGATGTGTCCTTGTGCACGAATTTGTCGGACGTTTCGACCGTGGGAAACAGTATGAGGATGCTTCTCATAGAGACGGCAAACTTCCAGCCAAATTCTGGATCTGTGTTTGCTTTGAAGCTGGAGAAATCTGGTGTGCGAATAAACAGGGAGAAGGTCAGTGGTTATGACGTGCCTGTGATCCGTTTGGCACGTTTTTTTGTTTCTTTTGCAATGGGTCAGCTGTGGCGTGGGCACTAGGTCAGTTGATGTGTGCAGCTTCCACTTGCTTCTTCTGACAAGGACGCTACGATGTTCGTCAAGGCCTTGGGAGTGAGGGCGCTGTGCGATCCGGATGAAGCTGATCTTCGGCCACCATCACCCAAAGGCCGAAATGTCGTATGGCTAACGCACCTGGAGGAGCAGGAGATCAAGCGCAGCTTTCGTGTACCGATGGGCTGCCAGGGTTTTTTCAAAGGCTGTCCACGCCTTTACTGAGCTGCCTTCCAGGCTTTCTGTGAAGGAGGCGATTGACAATGGATGTTTGCGTGTTTAAGTTCTGTGTGCCTAGAGTCCTGGAGCTGTCTGAGATATGTTGTAAGTAGTAATTATTAATTGTTCTTCAATTGCGTCCAGCAAAGCTGGGTGCCCCAGCCGCCACTCCAGTCCTGCCATCGGGCGGAAGAGTTCGTTTGCAGTGTCCTTGCTAGGAAAGTGAAAGTCTCGACGAAGTCGAAGCACCTCCTCCTAGCGTCCCATGGTCTCGTTGTAAGTTGTGTGAGCTCAGAGAGGATCATGGCGGTAAAAAATGTTGAGAAAAATTGGAGCAAGCCGTGAGTGCCGGCAGTTTCATCCGTGCTGACAAGGGCCACTTACTCGCTCGAGCTCAAGCTCAGGCTCAGACATAGCATGACATGGCCTGGATGGGGGCCTCAATCTGCTCACATGTCCATTTCACAGACTTCAACTCCCTGCAACAATTCGAATTCACCCGGGAAGTCGGTGTGGAATTTCTTAGCGTGAGATATTTGACCGGCTGCCACCGGCTGCCGCCTGCCTTCTTTGGTCCTCGGGCCTTTGACATATGGATCGCAGCGCCCTTGGTGGGGATTCGCCTTCTGAAGCATACCCCAGACGCCCCTGATAAACTCCTAAATGGAGGTGGCGGCCCTTTCAAGGTCTTTGTGGGCGGTCTTCCGCAGGATCTCGCCTGACCATGCAAGCTGTTGCGACCGGCCTCATGGGGAAGGATTGTGCATCATTCAATGCAGGACTGCACGAATGACATCCTCGTCGACTACTTCGGCAAGTTTGGCATCTGAGACAGGAATTAAGGAATCGGAAGGACACTTCTAGCAGTGAGGGCCCCTGGTTGGCCAGGAACTCTGCACCCGTAGGCCGCGGTTGCATGCTACGGAGTCAACCTTCAATGCAGCCTCCCAGGAAACATCACTGACGTAGTGGTGATGACTGACCGGGCGACTGGCCGATCGCGAGGATTTGGATTTGTGTCTTTCGACACGGAAGAGGCAGGATGCACCGCATCTTAGGTTCTTCAGGAAGAGGAGCCTTCAAGCTACATGTTGTCGGTGCAACACAACATGCGTGATCTTGATTTTGCATGCGGGTGTGAGCGTGTGAAGGCGGGCATCCTGCATTTCTGTGCAGGCTGTTGACAGCATCATGGCCATGCACAATCAGCATCAGATACAAGACAAATGGGTGGACTGCAAAAGGGTATTGGCCCCAGAGGGTTGCCAAGTTCTTTGTGCTTCAGTGTCTTCTCATTTTGTCGTAGGCTTCAGCACGAGGGTTCTGATTGATTCGGCATGTTCGAGCCGTTCACTTCCTTGGTGGAACTCGCAGTGTGTTGCTTTAATCTTGCAAAAACCACTGAGACGTTTTGCGTGTTGAAAGAAGCTATTGACACAGACAGACACACGCACACACACGGAGGTTCAGTGTCTTTCGGTTCGAGCGCGTCAGCTCAGAGATTTTTAGTCTTCACAACACAGCTGTTTGTCTGCGTCGTGCTGGTTGGGAGCAGCACTGGGTGTTGTCGCTGCAGTTGCCCCGGACCCTAGCTTGCGAAACTCCCGAACAAAACACAACTTGGCCTGGCTGCGAACAATGTCTGCCAAGCCAACGCTGGCTGTCGAAGGCCTTGGATTGGTTGTTTCACGGAAATAGATGGGGAACATCGACTCCCACAACAAGCCAAGTGGTTTTCCTCCAAGCCCTTCAAGCACTAAGGCGACTGCGGAAGGAACCAAGGGAGTTCCACAGAAAGGCAGTGGCGGTGGTGGTAAAGGCACAGGTGCCTCGGCAGCACCCTGTCCAGATGCCACACATCAGCTGGTCGCACAGAATTTAGCTATGGTTCGAAAACGCGAGTCCGGCACACTCCAAGCCCGGACAGGCTCTACTCGGCCGCCTGCGGCGAGAGCTCCATCGTACAATGCAGCACCACCGCCTGATTACAGCGCGAGTTCTTGCAGCAGTAGCGTCTTGGCTTCCTGGCATGCCCACGCGGTCAGTGCTCGCTGTAACATCGTATCCGTGGCTTCCTTGCTGGTGCAGGCTATGGAGGCGATGCTTTCGGGGGCTATGGGGCCTATGGAGCGGGCGCATATGGTTATGATGGCCTTTACGGCGCCTACGGTGGCAAAGCTTATGGTGGCGGTGGCTGCAACGGCCACGGCGGCTATGCTCCGAGCAAAGGTTGGCTCGGTGGCAAAGGCTCAGCTGCTCAGTCCTTCCACTGTCGTTCGGTTCGTGTGCACGGAGTGGCCTTGATCTGCCATTCTCTGCAGTGCTGGCTGCAGGTTCTGAGAAGGGCTATGCCCCGTACTGAGGAACCCCGCATCAGCTGCATTCGTTCAGCAGTTGCAGATTAAAAGAGCGGCTTGCTTAAGACGAAGACCTGACTCAAAGCAAGTCTCTCGGAGGGTTCGCAAGAGCCGGAAAATGGAAAAACTCAAGGGCCTCAAGCAGCTGGTTCCGAGGAGTTTGAAGCGCATGAAGCCATACCGAGCCTTCCACATCACGGCAAGGAGCGAGTTTGGTAGGAGCTTCACTGTCCGTCGATTCCGATAGATAGTGCATGAACTCTCGGCCGTTGAGCTGCAGTGGCCCCATGTAGTTAGTTCTTCGCAATACCCGGGAGGGGACCTGTGCAACCATGAGCAAGCCGGATTTCAGCCACCTGAGCTTGCAGGTCCGAGCCCTACAGGCTCATCTCAGCTTGTTCCCAGAGAGCAGGCCATTCCTCTCGACCCTGCTCCCCTAAGGACAAGAACTGCACGGCCTTCTACAAGTACATGGAGAGCAAGGGTTACCAGTTGGGCGATGTACCTGGGCGGAGCAAGAGACTGTAAGTCATGTCACATGTGTCACCTGGTTTAGATGAGTTTGAGTGATGTTAACTTAGTTGGGTCGTTGCGATGGTCACGCGAAGCCGATACAACCATCTGCTCGCAGTCGCTTCTCCCGGCTTCGATGCGAGCCTTGAAGGCGTTGTACGAGTACGGCAAGACTTGGAAAAGCTGGGGAACTTGCATCGTGTGCGAGGCCACACGTGCACAGCTCATCACGGCTCAGAACATGAAGCGTAAGGGGTGGGTTGATGCTGACATTTCAACTGGGCTTGATCCGGGATGATGATGTGGCAATATAGCCTCGTCGAGAACTTGTAGCTTGTTGTTTGTGCTTCAGGCTGAGTTCCCGTCCAACGTTGCGCCTCGGTGAGTATGGCCTGTGCAGTAATTATGAGTGCCTAGAGCCCTTCCCGTCCCGGTGTGAGTCCAGGCCAGCCACGTTTGGGGCAAGGCCCACTGCAACAAGTTGAAGGCAAGCCTGATCTGATTGAGCAAATGCCTGTAGTTGTCGTACGTTGTATCGCAAATGGACCGGGGGCTTCAAGGTTCCGCACGTAGAGTATATAGGTTTGCTGGGTGCGTGAATGTCGGTCATAGCCAAGATCACAAGGGACAACACCATGCAGGGATGCATGTTTGAAGTCTGGCAGGAGAAGCTGAATTGGCAGGAGCCGCGGGATCCGCAGCAGTTGAATCAGTGACTTGCTTGCAAGTGAAAGTGGGGATGCTGAAGAGCCGAAGCCCCAAATACAGTCAAGCCCGCTGTCGCGGCCTGAGGTTCACCCAGTACTGGAAGCTCGAAGGCCGAAAGCTCGAGAAAGGGTGGGCCCCAAGTGCAATCTCCCGCAAGGGCACTGGAGGATGCATAGTCCTTTGGAGGATCCCTGCCGCTTCTGGGGTGGGTGAGTTGACTCACTGTCGGGAGAATCAGAATCAGAAGTAGACGACTTGCCTGATGCCTGTGGCTTCCGGCTTAACCACCAGGCTTCTACAAGCCTGGCTATTTCTTCAACCACATCACAGGCGAACAGCATCTCGGATTTGTAGCAGCTGGCACAGATGGGACAGTCGTTCTGCGGGGAGAATCCAATGCCAGTCGCCTTGCACGTTGCTGACGATGAGCTCTCATCTTTGTGCTTTTGTTCGCTGCTTGCTGCTTCCCCATGTCAAGATCTTCGTGAATCCAGACTGTTCTTCTGTCATAGTTGCCAGAGCGTTGACCGTTAGCTGTCGTGTCTGTTCTGAACAAAGCTTATAGCCGTAACTAGCCCCGCGTGCCACACTTGCTCGCTTCATTGGCATGGCTGTCTCTGCATGGTCTGAAGTATACGCAAGACTCACAAGACCAGCGAAATGACCCCTTGCTAAGGGGACTTTGCGACATCGTCCCAAACATTGCGCCTTCGCTCCAGAGTGTCCCCACTCCGATGAGCGTCGCTGCGCCGATGCCCGGACCACCCCAAATGCAATGCCCGGCAGCTCAAATGCCATGCCCAGCAGCTCCACCTCAGGACCCCGATGCCAGTGAAACATGCCAGCCTGAGCTTCCACATTGTCGCTCTAGTCAACAGACAGAAGTGGCTGCACCCTCGCGACATTCTCCAATGATTCTGTGGCCATGTTTCAGCGCAGGAGATGCCTGCTGCCAGGCCTTCCGGTCAGCAGACAAGATCAGGGGAGATATTTCAGTTCCAGCCTCCAGGGTGCAAGGTGAATTTACGAAAGAGGCCTCGACAGGCTTTCGGGTGTGCTACGCTCGTGTGACAGGCCAGCGGGCGGCTGCCTGCTGGTTCCACACAGCCAAGGCCTTCCACCGTTGCGTTCAGCTGACCTGATGTGCATCCGACTTTCGGCTGTTGTTGAGGCTACGTCAAGAGCATCCAGCAGCTGGAACTATGGAGAATGCACATGGACAGCGCCGCGGCACTGGGTTCCCAGCTCACCTTTTCGTGAACCTAGCCGGCGCTGTTGGCAGGACAAGACAGGATCTACGCTGGATGCGGAGCTGGAGAAGACCGGCAGGTACGATCACGAGTGCGTTGTCTGCCAGAAGGCCATGACCCGTGGCGCTGGCGATCACTTGAAGTCCAAGAACCACTGGAAGCTTGGAAAGCACCTTTTTGAGGCACTCGTATATTTGGATTCTGCATATGAGACTTGTTCACTTTGAGAAGCTGGGGGAAGATTCGGCCAGGACGGAGCTATGGAAGAAGGTCGGCAAGAACATGCCCCAGCCGGATGTGGTGTTGGAGAAAGGAAGGCCCTGGTGGCAGGAGTTTGTGGTGCCGCAAGGGAAGTGCCCAGGTCCCAATTGGCCGCGTCTCCCGCGGGCTTGCTTCCTTGCAATATGTAGAGAGATGTAGAGCATGAAAGTGTGATTACAAGAGATGAACCCTAAACCCCTAAACCCTTGTGTGGAGCCTTGCCTGCCTGGTGCGAGTGTGAGAGTCGAAACTGCAAAGACCAGGTGCATTTTGAACCATCTGACGGCTGGCCTGGAGATCTCCGGGGCAGAGCCTGTGGGATACGCCAGTGGATGCAATGGTGCAGTAAATGGTGCAGTCAGCCGCTTGGGACATGCCCTTATTGTTTCAATTTGTGTTTTAAGTGCTTCAAAGGTTGTTTTCAAACTTTCGTCTAGCTTGTCTCGCATGGCTTTCCAGATTCTAGCCGCCTGCAATAGAAGCAGTCTGTGGGTTTCGAATCCTTGCTTGCACATCGCCTTGTGTCAAGGTATGCCGGCTCAAACGGCTGCAGCAGCTCCCGGTCAGCCGGAGTCCGAGCCTGGTGCACCGCCTTCGCAGCCTTTGTCTCCAAGTGCAGATGCAAATGGCATGTCCCTTGGCAGACCTCTTTTGGTAGCATCGAAGTCCGAAAAATCTGATCTTCACGTTGTGGGCCCGCATCACGACCGCGACTCTCTCTCAAGGTGGGTGCCCCATGGTACCAGCTGGCGACAGGCTCTGAGTGAGAGCAAGGACAAGTGGCGGACATTCATGGAGACCCGGCTGCACCTGGGCTTGGTCCCATGCCTGATTGGCACCTCTACAGTAGCCGATTTCCCTCTACCTCTGCACCTGCGAGGAGCCAGCAGCCACGGTGCTGGAACAGAAGGTGCAAAGCGGTGAGCAGAGATCGATCCCTGTGTTTTCGTGTATCAGCGCTATGACTGTCCCAGATCCGAGCTCAATTGACTGCTATTTCCTGAAGCCAGTTGCTTCAGCATCAAGCTTTCTTGGGCTGCCCATCCACCGCAGTGCAAAACCCCCCGACCAGAAAGAAGGGCTCGCAGAAAGGACAGGCTACCTCTCAAAAGTCGTGGTGTCCGGGCGAGCATCTGACGGACGCTTGAAAAAACTTGTGGCACTCGTGTTAACTCGTCCTGAGGGCTTGCACGTTTTGTAATGCGATCCCAGTAAGTCACCAAGCCTTCTGAGACGGATTTGGTGGAGAAGGCATGGACTTCATGGTGCACTTCATGCCACTCTGCTGTTGCACGTTCGGAGCTGTAGGGACCGAGGTCCTTGTATGTCCTTGTCATCAGAGACGGCCATGACATAAGAGATTAGCTTTCGCCTTCTCTTCTTTGCAAGATTTGATGAGAGCGACAGGTGCCCAACCACTATGAGTGCGTTTGCACCGTCTGCGACAACAAGGTCATGACGAGAGGTGCCAAGGATCATCTACTATCGCAGGGTCACTGGATCCTCGGCTTGGTGGTCGGAAGTTTGCAACATTGTTGGTAATGTTCCGCAACGTGATCTCAACCCGTGCCGTGATCATAAGGAGAAACCTGTGGGACAAGATGCAGAAATTGAATCGGGACCTTCCCCCCGACAACGTCCTGGACTTACAGGGCAGTTGATCGCTACGCCCTTGTCATTTCTTCTGTTGTATGTGTTGTTGATTTTGTAAGTTGCAACTGTTGATTTATCGAGTTATGTATAACATACCTGCACTGCCAGGTGGCTTGCCAGATGTCTGCCCGACCATGGGTGCAAGAGTTCCCGACCGCGTCGGGAAAGTATGTCTTCAACCACCTCACTGGTGGCCAAGAGCTGCAAGGCTGGTGGTGCCTTGAATCAGCAGCTGCCTGCGTGTGCTCTGACCAGGCGGCTCCGCGCTCCTGCAGCCTCTGCAGCCTCAGGCACGTTCGGGTCATCACTCGTGGCAGGTTTCCGATTCTATGGCGTATTTCGATTGTGACGGTGCAGGGCCAGGCGCCAGCCATGTCGGTACCTCCGATGCCTCCGGTGCCTCCGGTGCCTGTGCAATCTCCGCAGATGCAAGCTCAGCAGATGCAGGCCTCATAACTCCCTTCCTTGTCAATTCATCGACACGAAACCTTGCCTGTGGTTGTGCGAACTACATGGCACACTTCTGAGATGAGCGCCTAGACTCCTAGACTTTGCAGGCACCGCCGCAGCCAATGCAGCCTGTGCAGCCTGCTCAGCCGATGCAGCCAGCACAGCCGCAGGCGGGCTATCTCGCATCCGAGCTGCATCCGGAACCCCAGGGGCGATGCAATGTGCTAACATGTCAGGAGGGAGGCATGGTTGTCCGGAACGGCTTAAACTACAAAGAGGCAGGGTTGTTGTTCGTGGGTTCACGTCGTGTTAGCATCGGCGCCAGCCGAAACTAGGCTTTGGCTGAAATTGGCAAGTGGAAGAAGTTCATGGCAACCTGGCATGGAAAAAGGCTATGCTCCGCAGCAGAGAGAGTGGCGAGGCCCGCAACAGAGAGCCAAGGCTGAGCCGACGGAGCGACTGGACAGCTTCATCTACCAGCTCATGCCCAACTACACCGGGAAGTGCAACCTGGCAATGGGTTGTTGCAAGTCCTACGTGTTCTTGCGTTTTGCATGAGAAGTTGGTGCACACGGGGGGCGACAGAAACGACCAAAGATTTGAAGTAGCCCGAATCTGCACAGCTGGATACGAGCCTTGCAGTGGGTCAGGGCCAAGCAGACTTCGTGGGTTCCCAAGTTCCGAACAGAAGGCACGCCAGCCCCAACTTGGCCCCAAGCCTCTTGTTGTCACTCCCTCCGACATTTAGTTCAGGTAGTCGAGCTTAAAATGCAAAGCACGGCTGCCAGAGACAGCATTGCAGTAATTCACATCATGTTCGAGGCCCATTGAAGAAGCAAGCTGCAAGAGGCCGAAGCCAGTTACGTCATGTATTCTGGATGCAGAAGCTGGCCAGCCATATTCGGGCATCTCGGAGGCACGGTTGGATCCGAGTGGCCGTGATGGCCTTCTGCACCTGGGAGGGATTGCTACAAACGAGCTGGAATCTAGAGAAGGAGGAGTTCATTGTTGACAACAACTACCGACGATGGCGGCAAAGGAAACGTGCTGGCGGTTTGTCAGCAGCAGCAAAAACTGCAGGATTGGCCGTCTTACGCTGAATGTAAAACAAAATTAACCATGTCGCCTGGGGAGGACCTGTGGATTCAGTTCTGCCGTGCTGACATGTGACTGAGCTACTGTGCAGCGCCGGTGTCTAGAAGACGCGGCAACACGAAACCAAAACGCAACAGCCGGACACGTAGGACCGGCAGTCATCTCAAGCATGTGTGTTGGAAGGTGTGTGCAAATTCTCAATGTGGCCTCCGCCGCACACGCGTTGAGGGATGCCACATCATATTATCAGTAAACGGAACGTTTCATCGGATGTTTCCTGAGGCCTTGTCTGCCAAGCTGATATGCACCTGGGCTGCCCAACGGTGAAGCCGTGACGTCTTGTTCTCACGGTGGCTGAACACCACTTTGGAAGGGTGTTCCGTGATTTTCTGTATGCGGCCGTGCCTGAAGAACTGTCCACAAGTGTAGTCCGAGCACACCCCTGAGGTTGGGCTTCAACACGCACATTTGCAGTCAGCCGCCCGGCGAAAACGATGATGAGTTGCTTCGGAGCTCTCGGTAGGAGATCTTGCCCCTGCCTGGTCAACTCGACAAGCCCAAAAAAGCCCCAAACCCTAATATTTCACTCAAGCAGACCTCGAACCATATTCCTCGCCTGGAGAGTCCGAGCTTGAGCGCCGAAATCAGGAAGCACTTCAAGCAGTTGTGGGGGAGGATCGGCTCCAGAGGCATCCCGGAGCCGCGGCGACCTGAGACCAAGCAAGGGCTTTCTGGGGCTTGTCTCGTGAGCTGAGTCGGGACACTTAATAAATAGTTTACTTGTTGAATCTATAAATATCTATAATATTTGTATATATGTATGTGTATGTATGTATATATATATATATATGTTTGTGATACACAAATAAGGATATACACATGTATATATATATATACACATATGTGTGTGTATATATATATATCTGTATATTGATTGCTAGTCTTTGCCCCCAGGTCGAGGGCAATGGACTGGAACGCAGCATGGGTGGAGAAGATAGCCTCTCCGATGGCAGCTGGCAGGACAAGTCTACCAAGATAGACCTAGGCAGTATTCGGGAAGACCGTGGGAGCAGAATTGAATGCTGTTTTCGTCGAAGAAAACGGTGAGTGACGACCCTGAGAAGTGGTTGCGCTTCCACAGAAACTTAGGAAACCCAACGACGCTTGGCCGCATTCATGCCTTGATGTTCTTGGCGTGTGCCTCGCAGTTCCCCAGAGTCGCAAATCTCACGATGCTCTGACAAGTCTCTGGCATGTTGTGGCAAGTGTTTGATACCCGCATGTTCCCAGGTGGCCCATACCTGCTGAACCACCTTACGGGTGAACAGGCGAAAGCTGCTGCCTCCAGCCTGATCCGAATTCATTCCGCTTTCAGCCAGGGCTTCCAAGCTGACCTGATGAAAGCGCCCGCCGGCCCTCCGGTCGCTGCTCCTGCACATGCCGCGCCTGATGCAGGACATCCAACATGCGATCTATTACTTTGCCTTGCCAATCCCTGCCAGCATTGTTTCATGGTAGCCAGGTTATTCCCGTCCTCCAGCTCCGACGCCGGGCCCAGTCTCGCAGCCTCTGCCGCAGTCACTGCCCCGGGGCACTTGGGTGCCCGGTTTTCGTGGGAATGCTTGGGCGGGCCTGAGAGCCGACCAGGCCTTGTGCAAACCCCACGCCCACAACGCCCACGCCCACAACGAGTTACGACATGGACTTCATTCTTTGGCAGTCGCCTGGCTTTCTTGGGCGCCTGCTAACGACACACTCTTGCAAAGCACGTGCATTCATGTCGGCTTCTGCGTAATTGCCCAGGATCTTCTGAGCATCGTTGCCCCAAGGTGCCAGGTGCGGGATCCCGCCGAACGATTGGAAGCAGCGCTGGAAGAACGTGGGAGCCATTGTACCGGGTTCTGCTAGTTGGACAGCGCTGCATGGGGCTTTGCGAGGCTTTGCGACGTTATGGGTAAAGGGTCTCATCGGCTCGCCCTGAGCCATCAGGTGACGCAGATGACATGTGGAATGACGAAGCCGTGGAGTGTGCGATCTGTCAGAAGCGCATCGACAGCGCCAAAGGCTCCGTCAAGGACGCCTGAGTGTGTGGGTAGGCCTTGGCCATTGGCTTGACCGGCGAGGAGCATCTCATGTCCTGGGAGCATTTCCAGCAGCTGAAGGCTGGATGCTCGGTGTTCGTGGGCCCGTGGAATCTGAAGCTGTCGCTTCAGCTGAGGGGAAGCTACACCAGGAGCTCACGAGGCTTCGCGCAAGTTTCTTCGAGGGCATGTTTCGTTTGCTTTTGGGACGTTTTGGCTTGCTCCGTGGCCATCGCTGGCCCCTTTTTCAGGCCAAGAGTCCATGTCAAAGTCTCGCAAGAGCCGGGAAGTTGTTGCTGGCAGTTGGAGTAGGAGCACTGTAGCATGCACAGGTTCTGCAAGCTAGGGCTGCCGCTCCTGAGCATGACCTGCTGACAGGTTGGGTTCCATGGAGGTGGTGATGCAGCAGAAGCACAAATTTTGCCAGAACTTCGAAGTAGCTGCAGTGAGCTCAGCATATGGACCTCCATCCGAACACCATGAGACGTGTCATTGAATGCGGCGCAGCTGATGCGTGCAATGTTCCACTAGCCGCTAGCCCTGACCACATCTGCTTCCTTGCGGCGGCAGCATACAAGGGCAGCTTCCCTGTCTGCTCGTGACTTCGGTTCATTTTCTTGCTGCTTGTAGCCCCGTCGTCCATGTAACTTCCTCGTGAGCTCTGTCGCTGCAGTCCCTCGATGAGCAAACAGTAAGGCCTTCCAGCACCTCAAGCCGGAAGTGATCTACCAGTGAGCGTTTGACGCAGAAGCGAGGGTGTGGCAGCTTCACTTGAGATGCACCCCTCGTGGAGGATGCCACCGCGTTGGCAAGTCTGTGCAGGCTGAGAGAGCGATTACATAAAATATGATTAGTCGCGGTCATAGTGCTGGTGTGCTGGAAAGTTATAAGGATGCTGGTGAGCATCGGCTCGAGGCCCCGTCAGACAGGCCGGAGGCTGTGTTGTCTGTGGGAGGCAACGACGAGAACGACATGGACGACATGACGACGAGGACGAGGATGCAGGAGGAGCAGGAAGAATAAGGATGAGGAGGCGGATTACGATGCCACGGACACGAAGATGGTTGTGGTGCATCGACGACGACGACAAGCACGTGTTCTCGATCACCATAACGTGTGGTGCCTCAGTGCAGCGTCGCCGTCATAAGTGCTACCATAAGCGCCACTGTTGACACTACCACAATTAAGCGTGATGGCAGCAGCAGTGCCAGAACAGAAGCTTCGGAACGAACAACAGCAGGATAAGGACCCAAGACTCCATGACCACAACAACAGCAGACGAGTACAGCCGCTACTATCTCATGCGACCAAATGGCATGATTTCTTGGCTGTGTGGCATAAGAAAACTGCCGCAGGATGGTTTGAACATAAAGCTAACATCCACGTGCCGATGCACACAGTATCGGCAGAGCTCGCACAGGCTTGCCTTCGAGGTCCACGAGACTCGTTGAATCTCCGGCTGCTTCCGGTAGCAGAAGTCTTCCTTGCCGGAGTCGATTACGTAGGAGCATGCAAGAACCAACAGAGTGCCTTGTGTTGCTGTCTGAGGAACTGTGGATCAGTTGCGAGTCCTCGAGCCTAGAACCCTATGTAAAAACTCGACAGTCTGCAGCAGCGCGATAGCCCAGAATAAGGCATGTGATTATGATTGGTGCAGGGTGCGACGGCTGCGGTCTTCGTGCATGCGTTGCTAGACCGGGGCCGGATACTGCCCCTGTTTTAAATTTTAGTCTTAGACCGTCTTGACCTCCATGTTCCATCAACAAGGCGAAGCTGTGTGCAAGTCTTGGTTGATGTGGAGCATGACTGTTTGGGGCAAGCTCGGGCTTCGTTGCAAAACCTGCCAAGCGATGCGAGTGCCGACATGCTTGTCGCTGCTTGTCCGTGTGTCTTAAATGCAGCGTCTGGACTTGGGATGGCGACCGCCCTTGGCTCAAATGTAGGGGTGGATGCAAAGCTTCCAACCTGGGAGTCTGGAGAAATGACATAGCTTGGGCCTGAGATTCCGTTTCCAGACACATTGCAGTTGAGCTCAAGTTGGCTGGGCAGGCTCCAGATTCGGACCCGACGCAAAGGCCGCCGATGGTCCCGAATGCAAGTCGAACGTGTCGCTGGGACCCTTGTGTTCTGCTGTCGACAGGACTGCCCGTGTCATGACGAACTTGAACAGCCGATCAGGCAGCCGCTTGTGTTGTTCCGGTGCATAGCGCAAGCTAAGTAAGATCTGTCACTGTCGGAGACGGGCTTGGCTGCAAGTGGGTTGGAAAAGGAAAGATAGCTCCCGGAAACTCTGATACCACCAGGTCTGGGAAATTCGGCTGCCAGTGCGGCTGTAGCAGTTGCGGCAATGGCCGCTGCCGCTCCTTGTATGCATGACGACGGCTCTGCACATCTGCACATTTTCTGGGTTGAGTGTAGCCAAACTATATGACTATATGTATTACAAGGCTATGCAGAACTTGTATGACTGCAATAGGCAACCTGTAATGTCTTGCAATGTCTTGCATGGTGCACGAATCCATGCCTGTGCTCGTGTAATGCATGTTCGCGAGGACATGCAAGTCTTGAATGTCTGTCTGCTAGCCTGCCTGCATGATGCTTGCGTGCATGCGCGTATGCGTGCGTGATCGTGAATTGGAATTCGGTCCAAAAGGTGGTTTACTCTCTAGCCCAGGCCTTGGCCGCGGCTGGCGCTGCTGCGGCTGCAGGGCTCGCAGTGCTGCTTGCAACGAGCGCCGCCGTGGTGACGGGCAGCGCCAGGCCGGATTATAAGGCAATCTCTCAATGCCATATTGCATAGCAGCAGATAGCAGAAGCATAACCGCGAGTTTTCATTACAGTTTCACTAGAATACCAGGCAGGTGCTTCGAAATGGCTGTAGTCTTTCTGACAAGATCCCACAAGACATACACATGCTTATGCACATGCACAGCATGTGCGCACATACACGTAAGTGTATATAATATGTATATATGTGTATATGTGTATATACATACACATATTCAGACACACATGCACGCACGCACGCACGC